TGGGATGGGCCGGAGGGAGCTGTCGGGGCTGGGTCAGTGCGGTGGGATGGAAGGGGTCGGGGCAGGTGGGAAAGATTTAAAGCAGCCCCGTTCTGCTGCCCGAGCTCTCTGCCCGGAGCTCGGAGCTGCTGCGCTGTGGAGTTTTAACTCGGGCTGGAGCAGTCGGGACCGGAGCGCTCCTGGTGCGTGCGCCGTGCCGGGTGGGCTGGCACGGAGCAGGAGACGCTGTTGGCCCGGGACAGGGGCTGTGGTGTCCGCACGGAGCCGTGCGGGACCGTGCGGTGGTGGCACCCCGGGCTGTGCCTGTGCCACCGAGCCGAGCTGTCCTGCGCCCACTGCCACCGTCCTCCCTCCGCCCTTCGCTCCAGGAGAGCCCAGCTGCAGCTAAAGGTAAAAACTGCAGCTAGTCTCCCCTCTTGGGAAGGGTGAAATGGAGCCACGGAGAGAAAGCAGCGATCTGGGAGCTGGCAGGGCTGGCACTCTGCAGGTGCTGTGGTGGGATGCAGGGGCTGTGGTGGGATGCAGGTGCTGTGGTGACAAGTTCCCGTGCATGTGTGCATGCCCACAGCACACCCTCTAACACATCCAGGCACACATCTCTGCAGGGATTATTTTTATTTTGGAGGGCAAGTGTTGTTCAAGGGAAAATTTTATTACACGTGTCGAACTGCAGCAATATGATCCATGACACCAAGATCCCATTAAAATAATGGGCAAAAAGTGGCCCTGCAAGGATATTGCTTGTCAGGGATGACCTCATCTTGAGGAAAAAAGGAAAGAGTAACAGCCTGATGGTGATAATGTTCAGGGGAGGAGCATGCAGTGCTCTGCATGTGCCGAGGGGGATTCCTGACTGTGTTCAGATTGGAAACTTGTAAGCACCCACTAGAGCTTATGGGGGACTCCTGCCATGAGGAGTCAGAGTAGAAGATTTTGGTAGACTGAGCACAGTCAAGTGTCTGACATGGCATAAAAACTGCTGTTTCATGTCTCCTCTGTGTCCCTGGTGTTATCATTTGGGGGAAAGGAGAGGAAAAGGGTTAATTCTCTGGTTTACTTAGCCAGATGCTGAGCATACAGCAGCTCTGCACTGATCACCCCAGGCACTGAGCCCAGCCTCTGCTGCTCATTTGGGAATACACCTTAGTGCCTCTGCCCTAAATGAACAGGGTCCTAACACTTCATGCAGTGAGATGTCTGTGGTCAGACTCCTACAGGACAATCTGGGGGAAAGAGTGGGAGCAGAGGCAGCATCCATGGCTTCTGATCCACAACAGAAAAGCAATTTTCCATCAGAAAGAGGAGGGGGATTCTCCCTTCACTGTAAGAGAGCTACCACAGGTAGCAGCACCCACAGTGGGGCTCTGAGTCTCAAGAGTTCCAAGAGGTCCTAAATAACTCCTGATCCTTCTCCTCCTCCTGGCCCTGCTGTCAAAAGCATGTCCACCACTGTTGGATGGACTCAGCTGGAGATCAGATCTGCAAGGACACCTTGGTTTTCCTAACACAACTTTGCAGTTGCATAATGTGGGTGCTGGGGAACTCTTTGGGAGCATCAAAGCCAGAACCAGAAGGCAGCTGACAGGAGACAGCCTTCCACTTCAGCTTGACAAATTCAGAGAGGTCTGTCCCATGAAGCAGCTTTTTGCACCTATTTGTGTTCTGGAACATCTTCAAATGAAAGTCTCTGGTACCTGACAACTTCTGATTGAAGGAGCTGAGCTGGAGGTGGAAGCCCACTCAGGTTCTGAGGCAGCCCCCAGCCTGCAAGCACAGAGCTGGATGCTTCCCTAAAGTGAGCCTTGCACCTGCAGATGATTTCTGCCAGTGTGGCTGTGTGCCTGCAGGCAGGGTGTGGGCCCCAGCTTCTGTCAGCACAGTCAAAGAGTGAAAAATTCCATGAGGAGAGGAAGAGCACATGGGCAGGTACTTGGTACAGGAGGTGCAGGAGCCTAGTTTGGCCTGTAACTGCAGGGAAAAGGCAGGATGCTTGAGATGCATCCCTTTCATGCTCTGAGCTGGGAGCACTGCTTTGGTGCAATGAAGTATGAGAGATGAAAAAGGCAGGAAAATTCCCCATGACCCATGGTGATGCTGTCCCACCTGTACAGCACACTGTTGGGCAAAACCTGGTGAGACAGATCTGGTTTTGAGGCTCATCCTGCCACAGCTCCCTTCCTTGCCTGAGCCAAATGACAGCCCCAGGTCCTGCCACCTCCCCTCAGAGCTGCTGTGGGTGGCCTCTTCCTGGCCACCGAGTCCCAGGGTTGATAACAGTCCTGCTGGGGAAGCCAAAGCCAGCCCAGCCTTGAAAATCCCCTTCCTGCATTGTCAAGCTGGTAAATTGATTTTCCAGCTGAACCTCTGAAATTGTTCTCTTCTGAAGAGATTATGGAATTACTCCTGTGATAATGAATGCTTTAATGTTACGGTGACTAAAGTCCCATGAGGACTTTAACTGCAAAAAAAAAAAAAAGGCATTGTAGGAAACGGGAGCCTGTGGTGGCTGGGTCAGACCTCATTTCACCATCTGGGGAAGAGGAGAGCAGGAAAATGAGAGGCAAGTGAGGAGACATGCTCAGGAAATAAGGAGAGAGAAAATGAGGAGAGAGGTGAGGCTTGCTCTGGTCTCCCAGGAAGCTGCTAAATCCATCAGGAATCCCTCCTGCATCAGTTTATCCCTCCATCTCTGAATGCAGGAAAGGTAACATGTTAGCTATTCCCTTTTCACCATCTTTCTGGCTGTATCCTCTGGCAGCAGGGATAACCCAGCTCCTGGCAAGCCAGAGCCCAGGTCCTGGGGCAGGACCCCACAAAGGAGTTTACAATTTTTTAGGAAGAGAACATGGATCTGGGAATGAGTCTGCATTGATCCTGCTGCTGTTTACAGAACACAGTCTCACCTCTGCTTTCCAAACCCTGGTTTTGTTTCACTGTAGCTCCATGGGTTAGAACCAGGTTGTCCCAGATTTAAGCAAGAGCAGAGTTAACCCCTAAGATGGGATGGGGAAGCAGTGCAGGGAAAGAACCTCCATGCTACAGGAGCTGCAATGCAAGGGGAAGGCTGGTTTCTATTTAGGTTAAGGGCTCTGCACAGAATGGGTAATCCTCTTTTCATGAATTATCCAGGGGATTAGACAGCTTTAAACTCCCCCAGGCCTCCCCGGCTGCAGCCAGGCTCGGTGGGGCCAGGGGGGCCATGGCTGGAGGGAGGGAGATGCCAGCAGGTTGCTGATGACTCATTTGGCTGCTGCCAGCCTTGCCAAGCACTCCAAGAGGTCACCAGGGGCCCAGACACAGAGTGACGTGCAAGGCAAAAGGGAACATGCCAGTTAGGAAAGAACATGGGGCTTTATAAATAATTGCAGAGACAGGGAGTGTGGCAGCAGGTAGGAGGAGGGACAAGAGACCCGAGGCAGCAGTTTTCCAAAGTGTAATATCCTTGCTAGACTTTTCCAAGCTGTTCCTCTAACCAGGAAAGGGGATGGTTTTGGAAGTGCAGCTGATCCATCCGAGGAGATGCTCCAAACCCACCTGCTTGGGCTGGCTCAGCAAATGCAGCTCTGGGGATGCAAGTCAGGTTCATCTGTTGGGAGTGCGAATGGATCACTGTCAATACTCCATTAAAATGTTGAAGGGAGGCCAAGAGCACAGCTCAGGGACAGTGAGGGGGTGGGGAAGAATGGGATGCAAACAGGGAGGCAGGCTAGATTGCACCAAAACCTGAATATTTCACTCCATTATAGAGCAAATGCCCATAGCAGATTTCTGTTCTTTACCTAATGCACAGCTGCTAGAAAAAAAAAAGGAGTCCTGTCACTAATCTCACCCTGAGGGCTCATTCATGCCACAGAAGAGATATTTCTGACCCTCTACATGGGGGTCTTGGGACAAAGCTTTGGTGGGGAGGAAAAGAAAAAGGCTCAACTGTGGAGGCTGGGCTGTGGCTGACATCCAGCTCTGCAAGGATGGCAAGGGGGCTCTTCCTCCTTGTGCCAAAGGCAGTGGAAAAAGCCAGCAGAGGACCAGTTCATGAAACAGGAATAGAGTCCTTGTGTCCTAGCTGATCTGCTGTCCATGGGTTTGTGGTGGGGTCACTCTCTTCCTCCCCTAATCTCTAGAAGCTGTGGTCTAGCTCTAAGCCAGTAGGGTTTGCCTTCCTTCACTTGGTTTTCCAGGCTGTAACTAACTTTTTTTCCCCAATTCTCTTCACATTTTACTGCTGCCTAGACATGTAGCCATCTTGCCCTGGAGTTACGTCCCCCTGTAACTGTTACATTCCCCCCCTGAGGGACCTGTGGACCCTCACAGTACAGCTCTTATCCCCCAGACTCAGTCTGGTCATCCTTGTGGACTGTGGAAAAATCAGGTTTATTCATAGGGAGGTTGAATGCACCAAGACACTTTTTTCCCCCCTGCATTTAAATAAATTTATTCCACTCTCTGCTGCTTATCCTACATAAACTAAATCAGGATTTAGACCCTGTGTTTTCCCCTGCCCAGAACTGGGACAAATTGAAAGCCTTGTTCTCCTGTTCAGCATTCTCTCTTTTACTCATATCGTCTAGAGGATGCTGTTTAAATAATGTCAGGGGAGCCTGAGTTGAAGAGGGAATAAAAGAACAGTCTCCCAAATCACTGCTAGGATGGGGAATTCTGTGGCTGGCCCTGCAGCTCCTGCCTTGCCCAGACACACAGACAGAGTCAGTATCAGCCATGCCTTGTTTCTGCCTGGAAAGGCAGAGCTAGAAATCACTGGAGAAAGCCTGGGTGAAAGAGAGAAAGCAAAGAAGGGAAAGACCATGGAAAGTCTTTGCCTTTAATGTGAGCTAATGTCTTTCCTCCTGCGTCGTGGAACATCCTCAATTTCCTGTTTAACTTAAAGTCAACACATCTGTCATGTTAGCATCGCCCGCTGCCTGGTTTCCCCAAGCCACCCCCTCCCATCTGCTCTCCCTCCTCCCTTCCCTTCCCTCCCCTTGCTCCGTGGCTGGGGGTGTGTGTGTGCCTGCGCTGGTGTTCTCTGCTGGCTGAGGGACTTTTCCATAGCTCCTGCCTCAGTACCTGGATGTGCTGGCAGCGGGATGATCGGCTTGGCTCGCGGAGCATTTACTTCTAATCTCCGGCTTGTGACATCCCAGCAGAAAGGGGCAAACCTTTCAGGAGCAGCTCTGCGGGCTAGGCAGAGGGGAAATGGCTGGTGAATGGATGTGGTGAGAGATTTCCTAGTTCTGGTAAGCAATGATGCTTTTCTCTCTTTGGTCCTGTTCTGGGCAGTCAATGCAGGTGCAGAAGAAATAGGGCTTAAAGGGGTAGAAAAGCAAAAGGAGGGAGCTAAAAAGAGACAGGGGAAAAAAAAACCAGTGAAGCTCATTTGACTTGTAGTGAAGCTTTTCCAGGGGTCAGTGCTCATCAAAGCAAATAATTTACTGTTAAGTGAGAGGCTGGGAATCAAGCAGATCAATGTGTGAGCCTGGGCAGTCGGAGCAGCTCTCACTCACAGGCAGATCCATTGCCCACCCTGTATCTTCTTTCTTTTGTGATTTCCAGCTTGGTCTGATATTTTCCATGCAGTCCTATGTGAGCTCCTACCTGAATGCTGCTTTTAACTGTCCCGTGCTTGTTATTACAGGAGTTGTGGGAAGTCATTCATAAATTCCTGCCCCTGAGTTCATGCATAAAGCCTCTCAACTTTCCTAGCTGATGAACTATCTCCATCCTAAAGTCTAACTGCATTTTTCACTGAAGCCAGTCCCCCAGGTCCTGCCAGCAGCTGATATAGAGAGGTGCAGATAAAGATGTTTGGGAGGAAGAGGGTCTCACTGGACACTCTGTTGGGACCATGAGCTGTCTGATGTTCTGGACATGGGATTATTCCAAATGAGAGGTTTGCAAGTCAGTGTCTCACAGGATTCTCAAAATAGGTGTCCTGCATCTTAGTCGAGTGACAGCAGAGCTTTTATACCAGGGATGAATTTAGGGCCCTTGTTTAAAGAGGATCAGGGAATAATAAACCTAAGAGCAGCCTTTGCAATCTGGCTGTATTGAATCTGCAAAGGTCTGTACATAACAAAAAACAGAGGAGAAATGTTGTGGGGGAGCTTTGGCAATTTTTCTGTCAGGTTCAAAGATATGACCTTCTCGACAGACCTGTGCTTCCCCCAAAAATTGGTGCAGAATTTGGGGATATCAAAACATTTTGTTCTAGATTTATTTATGACAAGCAGAATTAGAACTAGTTCTGGAGAACATTTCAGAGATGACTTGTTTATAAAAATATTCCTCTCATGATGTATTCATGCAGAAACCTCCACTTGCTAAAAACTCACACATTTCCTACTCTTTGATGTTAGATGCTGTGGCACTGAGAGTAAGTCACTTTGGGGTTTGTGATTATTTTAGAGCAACCTAGACGTTTCAAGTTAAATTAAATTTAAAGAAAAAGATTCTTCTCTCTTCAGCAGCAGGTTTTGACTTGGAGTTTGGTTTCAAGTGTGTTTCAGGAGGACAACCTTTTGACCAAATCTGTGTGGTGAGCAGGGGGTGAAGAGAGCACGGGGAGCTGGAAGGGGCTTTGTGTGACTAAATCCCAGCACAGGGCAAGAAGGAAAGAGTGCAGGTGCAGGAATTGCCCAATTTGTTGTCTTTGGGGGGTTGATAATGTGAGGAAATAATGTTAGAGAGGACAGATTTTGTGTCCTTTAACCAAAAAAACATGGTTTGTTTCAAAAGGTTGAAAAACCTTCACATTACCTGTCTGAACACCAGTAATGTCTATAAATTATTTTTCTTGTTGAATTTTCTTCTAAAGCCTGCAGTAATGTTGATGCCAGAGTATCTCTGCTGTCAGTTTGGTGTTGTGTGCACTTGTCCCACATTCCGTCTGAGATGCTGGCCAATGGTGACTGTGCTTTCCTGTCCCTCTGCAGTGCTGCCTGGCACAGTTAATTTCCCCTGTTTAATTAATGGCTCTGTAATATTTATAAAGAAAAAAGCCTCATACCCATCTGTGATAACTTTGGTGCTTCTGCCAAGATGAAATTCTAGAGCCAAATGAATATTACAATATGCTGGATATAGAGATGTTTATAATGTTCCAAATTTCCTGAGCCATCCTGATTTGATAATGGGGAAGTGAAGGACTGATCCTAAAGTCTGTCTCTGGATAGAAACAGAATGGAATGTGGTAGAGAATTAATGAATGTTATTACTTTAATTGAATTTTAGTCTTTTCTTATGGACATTTGGGTTATAAAGGATGGATTTCCCTTGCGAAAAAAAATCCATTTGGTGAGGGCAGGGAGTCATAAAGGATCTTAAATGAAGAATACTCCAGATAATTCCTGTGATGGCACTTGGCATCAGTCATCCTCTCTTCAAGACAAGGCAATCAAGAAGATGGAAGATTAAACCTTTCCGTGCCAGGGAGACTTCCATGTTATTTGATTGAAATTGGAATCCTGTCACCTCATGCTTGTGTCTCCAGATTTTTCTTACCACATCTGCTAAATTACCACCAGCTATTTGCGTTTGGAACGAGGCCTTCCTCCCTCACAGCCCATCTGCTCAGCCTGTTTGCTCTTCCCCTGCAGTCACGACTTAGTGAGCAAGGTTATGGCAAGGGAAACTCACTGGTGTTGGGGGAGAAGGAAGGTGGGATTGATTGAGGTGGCCTGGCAGATTCCCTTGGCTGTGCTGAATTTGAAAGAGGAGCTGGGTTAAAACTGAGGGAAGAACCTCTTATGAATGGCATTTTAGTCAGAGAAATGGAGCTGGGGAATCTCAGACCACTCTGAGGACAATCCTTCTCTTTTTCTAATACTGTCCCAGGGAATCTTTACAAATAGATGTTAGAGAGTCTCCAATATCTAAGGTGACAACTCCTCTGGACATGTTCTTGACTGCCCTAATGCCAGGGAGGGAGAAGAAATTGCAGCTTCTCTTGCTTGGAGGAGGTTGAAATGTGAGAGCACTGTAGGTATTCTAATCTCTCTCATTAAAGTTGGAGGGGCTACAGGTTTTCAGGGATGTTTTCTGCTCACCTTTGTGTGCCATACCTTGAGATATAACTGCAGATAGAGAGGGATGAGATCAAGATCTACAAAGTTGTGATGTGGAGGAGACAGTAGGGCTGCTGACTTCTCAAATCCAAGACCCAGGCAACATCAGAATTAACTGGGAGAAGCCAGGTACAGCTCCAAGCTGCCTCTTGGCATGGGGACTGTGTCAGGTCCGATGCTGGGCAGGCTCCTCCAGGAGATGCTGCAGGACTGTGAGGGCTCAGCTCTCACTGACTCAGTGTTTCCAGTCAAACTCAGTGTTTTGCTGGGCTTCACAGCAGCTCTTGTGGAAGATGAGTTTGCAGGAAGCTGGAATTCAGCAGCCCTAAGATGGGTGATGGATGGATTTGTCCAAGCCCTGGTTCCCAGCACAGCAGCTGCCTCCTTGGCTGGGAGTAAGGCATGGTGTCCTCTGAGCAGCACTGCAGCGTGGGGACTTTGCAGTCCTGGCCTGGAGAGAATCCCTGTGGGGTGTTCTGTAAAATGTGACACGTGAAGAGATCCCTGCAGGATGCTTTTCACCCTGGGGAAAGTGCTATGGGAGCCAGTCTGCTTGTGCAGATGGGCTTCACACCCCTCCTGCTCTCTGCAGGTGAGCTGAAGTGGTAAAATCAGGACACAAGTGGTGTCTCAGGGGTTGCTCCCACCACATCCCTCCTGGCAGCAGGGAAAATCCTGCCTCCTCCAAGGGGCACTTCTCGTGCCCTCTGTGGCAGGTGGTCAGGCTGCTGCAGATTAACTGCTGTAATTATGGCAGCTTACAGGTTCCTGACCTCCTGAACTTATATCCAAGCCCTTCTCAGGCATGCAGGACTCTCCTGGTGTCTCTTCTCTGCCTTGACACTCAGAGGAGACCCTGTAGAGGAGGTGGTGGTGACTTCTTTGAGGAACCTCATTTATGTTGCAGTTTTTTAAGCAGTCATAGTCCTCCATCAAGCCCGGTTACACCTTGTCCTGCAGCTCCTGTGAGTCACACTCCCCAGGGGAGTACCACATCTGGGGAATCAGGTTAGAGGCAGATTAGATTTGATGCCTCCTGGAGGATGATTGAGCATTTGGGGGACAAGAATGGAAGCCTGCAAAATTCTTCTCCAGCTGTACTTGGCACAGAGGGTGTGTTGCACAGATGGATAAAGGTTCTTTTAGATTTATAAACTATCCTGGGTGGGTGGATCCTGATGTCATTCTTAGGGCTGTAAATCCAGTAAAATAAGTTAAATTTCTCTGGATTGACACCAGAATAAGAGATAGATGGGCTACTATGAGAGGTATGGCACCTCATAATGCAGCAAAGCAAAAAGTGATAATTCTGCTCTGTACACAAAGTCCAGGGCTCTCTCTGACCTGATAGACGGGAAGCAGGAGAAGATTTGTGGCCACAAGAGGTGTGGGCTTTTTACAAAATGGCAACTGGTTCTCAAGTACCTTTAGCACACTACAAAGCAGGAAATCTGTCCCAAATTCCTCTCATCTGCTTCCACTGAAAGTGAGAGTGGGAGCCAGTGGCATCAGCCATTTCTTGGGGGGTTCATTTGTTCTTCTACACTCCCAAACCAATGCACTTGCAGCCCAGTGCATTTCAGATGTTTTATCAGGACTGTTTCATTGCAGCAATCTAGTGTGCATTAATTTTAAGCATGTGTAAATGAGGTGTTAAATGATTTATTGTAGACCCAGATTAAGAAATCCCAGTGGTTTCTTCTCCTGATGTGTAGATGCTGTTGAAAAAGTCAGACTTGCTGGTATTGAGGAGTCTTTTCACTTGCAATTCAGCCCCAGAATTGCTGGGTTGGGTGCAGGCTGAGCCTCCCTGGTGAGCCAAGCAGGCTGTGACCATGGAAGGAGCAGAGAGCCCATCTCCAGGGGCAGCACATGTGTGACAAATCCTGCTGTCCCCACTGCCAGTCACTGGCCCTCTGGGGACTGTGGTGATGCCCTGGCATTGGGACACCCTTGAGGAGATGGGGAATGCCTTTTATATTCTCAGAGCCAGAGAATGGGAATTAAGAGTGATTTTAATTAATCTTGTACTTATTATTTATCACTAATTGGATATGCTTTTGGTGCTTTTTTTTTCTTTCTTCTTCTTTCAGATAAGGGTGTTTAGGTTTGGTTATTAGTATCTATTTTATAATTCTAGCAAGAGAGGATCCTTTGCTATTAGAAGCTGAGAC